CATATTTGAATCTTCATAGAATTTCTGAGAATTTTAAATTTACATTTTTGCCCACATCTCTTCTTGCATTGCCCTTATTCTGATATGGCTTATTCAGAAGGCACTATTTGGGGGACAGATTTTTCTCTTTGATGAATATTATTTCAAAATTTGGAGTTTAATGAATCATGTCACAATCAGGAGGTCATAAATAAATTATACTTATTTTTTCAGTTCATATTTGTAATATACTGCTTCTTAGGAGAATTTATTTGTAAAGATAAGCATCAAAATTTTTTTAAACTCAATTGATGATGGCCTAATCTGAATTTTCTTCCATATGTTAATGAATTTATGCAATCATAGCTGATTTTGAGTTAGTTGGACCATTTTAGAGGTTTAAAAGAGTCTAATCGAGATCAAGTCATCACTTGCTTAAACTTGAGCTTAATTAATTAATCAAATTCAAGCTCAAATTGATTCATTTATTAATAAAAGAGAGAAAATAATTATAATTCAAATAATTATTATAAAAATGATTAAAAATAGAAAAAAATAATTATCTAATGTAAGAAAATTAAGAAATTATTTTAAAACATTTTTAATAATTTTATACTTTAAATATTAAATGTTAATATATTTTAAATGCTTTTTATATCAATACTTTTTAAACAAACCACCTCGTTAGAAACTAACGATTTGAGTCCAGATAGGCTAAAATTTGACTTATTAACTCATCGAACTTTATCCATGAGCTATTTACCAAGTCAAGTCCGAACCAACTTATAAATCCTCTTACACTCCAAATCTATATTTCTATTAGTGGTTTCGATTTTTAATATATATTCCCACGTTGGCTACATTTGGATTTAGGTGTGCTATTGGATTTTATTGTCTCACAGCTTCCTGGTTTGGCTCGGGCGTTCAATGTTACTTTGTTTGCTCATGAACCTTCATGTTTGTCAGCTTTATAGTGTTGTCCACATTGCTATCCCAATGAATATTATCGACTGTTCGGCTCAATTGCAGAGAATATTGAAACTATTTGAGCGAGAGATTATTAGTTGCAGATTGCGGACGGGAAGAACCGTCCGCACAAGCATTGGGTACCTAGCGGTACCCGCACTCAATACACCTGGATACCACTAGGTACTCAGTGCTTGTGCGGACGATGCACATTCCGCGCCTAATAATTTTTCGTGGGTGGGGCAGAAGAGGCAACTTTAAAATCCATACATAAGAAATTGAATATAAAAGTGCTTTTAGAAGCAGTAAGAAAGCCATCTCAAACGAAACCTTAATCTGGATGATACTAACCTCATTCAAATCTAAAGACAATTAATTAGATCTAAGTTACAGTAATAGCTACAGGCACTAAAACAGAAGAAAATGGCACTATCACAGCAAATAGTCAAATTTAGCCACCGTTACATGCATGAACTTAAAAGGAGATATTTGGCATTTCAGATGAAGCAAAGTAATATACAATTTGAAATTTACTTCCCTGCAATCTCTCAGGATGAGTGGGTGGTTCATAGGGTAATAAAGATTCAGCACCAGGCAATATAGTGCTTGTAATGATTATAGTTAGTTAATTTCGAACGAATTTCAAATGACTTGGAACTTCAACTCAAAGAATGATTTAGGCTTCGTTTGGGACGACTTTCTTCCTGCTTCTTAAAGCAATTTTTTGATATAAAAATTAAAAATTTTGTAACTAAAAATTATTTTTTAAAACAGCAAAAAAGCTGTCTCAAACGAAACCTTAATTAAAAGTAAAAAATGGGTCGACTGAGTGTTGGGAGTAAGGTGTGGGCTAATGATATCTTGTAAGCTCTCAAAAATACCTAACTATTAAAAGAGTATACAATGAATCAAATGTGCATAAATGTATAAATTCCAGACTAACAAAAGAAGAATTTCGATTGAACGAGCATCCTAACACAATACTTGGTTTGAACAGTTTCAGTTGATTTGGTTTAGTTAAAAAAGTTGAATGAGTCTCAAGAATTTATTGAATTCTGACTACTCTCAAGCCCATTTGGAGCAGCTTTCTCATAATTCTATTTTCCATAGAACAGACAAATTTAATTTCAAAAAAGAGAAGAAATTTATCCTACACTTAAAAAACTTTGCTACGGATGGCCGCAACTATGTCAAACGGACTGAAAATCATCCCTGGCTAAAGGACATTGCAATGAAGTTGAAACACTTTCACCAATAATCAACTGAAAACTTAACACAATAAGCAAACATTGTACAAAGCTTGCAGGTCATAGAATGAAGCAATTTCAGAATCAAACAGCAAAACAAACCAACAGTACTCTCTGGGGATGAAACTAATTACACAGCAAAGCCAAATCATGGTGACGGGGGGCAATGTCTTGGCAATGATGGAGTTGGATTACCGCAATCAAAAAATCAGCAATAGAAAAACAATATTCTAATCATCTCTATCACTCACCTCCACCCACAGAGTTTAGTGAGCCATCCTTCATCAATCTGATACTAAGGCTGTTGAATCTTCCTCTCGAGTAATGCCTTGAAGCTTTCCTCCAATCCGTTCCAGTTTTCATCATTGCCACAAACTCATCATAGCTGATCCTACCATCCTGTAATCATTAAAAAAAAGGAGATGATGGAATCTAGCATTTGATCAAGAAAAGTCGAATTTCAACTGAAATATTGTAATTGGTGAGAACGAGCACCTTGTCGGTGTCAACTTCTTGTAAGATGTCATTAGCTACATCTGCGTTATCTGTAGCTCCATCTTCGGCCAGGGCATCTCGAAGCTCTTCGGCCTCGATATAGCCATTTCCATCCTTATCGAAGTATGAGAAGGCCCGTCGGAGGTGCTCATCATTCGCCATCTTCTGTGAATGAAGGGAGATTGCAACAAATTCACCGTAGTCCAGCTTTCCCTTTCCACTGGTATCCACCTGATGGCCAATTTTGATTTAGTCAGATTAAGTTTGTTGAATATTTTGCAGTCCAAGTATATATGCACGGACAAGTTTAAACGTTAAATCCATTAAATAAGAATTAGGATGATGATTCATATTGCTCAAGTTACCCATATAGAAATTGTGATTGCCTTCTTCAGGCTTTTTGCTCAAGTTTCTTTAAAGCTTTCTTTATTTTTCAAATTTCTATCAAGTTCTAAAATTGTTCAATTGTTCAAAATATTAACCTTATGATTAATTACATGAAGATGATAGCAATCATTCTCTATCCTCTAATGTTCAGCATGAATGTATGCATTTAAAAATATATTACAACTGCTCAAGGTATTTAAATTTTACTAGATTATAAACTTAAATAAATTATGATGTAAAAAAGAAAAGGATATAGATTATTTTAATACAAACTACCTTTTAAGATACATGATGAAAATATCAATGATTTTAATTAGTAAGACTTCCACTATCGATTTTATAATTCATTTGAAATTAATGTTTTATTAATTAAGAAGTCTGTTCGTCGACGATTTTGGGTTTGGAACTCAGCAATTTTTAATCATTCTAATTTCCATTGAATAACCTATGGTTTTAATTCATATTGATTTAATATTTTAATTTTAATTACTTATATTTCTTTTGACTCTTAAAATTGCGGATTTTACATAGTTAACATGAACTAAGTATTAGAATAAACTATTATTTGTATTTCCACGTCAGCTATTATTAGAAGTCTCTAGACCTGTTGTATTGGCTTCAACTTTCATCTATATATATTCATCTACTATACCATGTAAAGATAACTTGAAATCATAAGTTTTCCATTCTCAGCTCTTGTCTTCTCTCTGTTTCCTCTGATGTTCTTTATCATTAGTTTCTACATGGTATCATAGCAAACCGCACAAGACTCCTCCTCCGCCACCGCCGCTTCAAGCATCCCGTCCTCCCTGAAATTCCTGGTATCAAATATCAAAAATCTTGTTCCCACCCAATTGTCCACTGACAACTACCCTTTATGGCGTTGGCAAATTGTTAAAATCTTTCGCGCAAATGGGTTCTCTTCGTTTCTTGAAAGCTCTTCCTCCCATCCTCCGGAACAAATCTCGTCCACTGCTAGAATCCTCACTCCAAACCCTACATACCAATCTTGGATTCTTCAAGATCAAAATCTGGACGCTGCGTTGTGCTCCACGATTGCTCCCGCCGTTCTTCCATATATTATGCATCTTGAATCTACCTCTGCCAATTGGGCTTCCCTTGAACTTCTTTTTCAATCCACCAATCGATCAAAGGTAATTCGGCTCAAAAATGAGCTCCATCATATCTCCATGAACTCCTCTACTATGACTCAATACCTCACCAAAATAAAATCCTTGGTTGATCAAATGGCGTCGGCTGGATCAACTCTTGACACCGAAGATGTCATCCTGTACATCTTGAACGGACTACCCCCTACTTACCAATCGTTCAAAACTTCTATATGAACTATGCTCAATCCCATCAGTCTTGATAATCTCTATGCTTTGTTACTTAGTGAAGAGATTAATATTGCTATGGACGCTGCGCGCATCACAACTCTGGCAGATCCAAATCTTGCACTCTACTCATCTAGGGGTCGCGGAAGACGAGGACGTGGCCGCAACAGCTACAAAAACAGCAATGCTCCTAGCCAGGCTTCCCTCGTCATTTGCCAAATATTTCCCTCGTCATTTGCCAAATATGTATCAAGAAGGGCCATTCGGCCTCCTCATGTTGGCTCCGCACCAATCTTCAGTACACTTTGACGTCTACCTCAACAAACACCACGGCTCTAGCAGCTACCCCAAATCAGCCGTCTCAAGATTGGTACCTGGATACAAGGGCATCATCGCACATTACAAACTCTCTTGACAAAATGTCTACCTCCCACTCCTATTATGGATCGGATACCATATATATATAGATGATGCAAAGATGATCACTTAAAAGTTTAATTTTACCCACATATTTCACTTCTTTGACACTAATTTTATGTGCATGCCTAAAAGGTGCGTTCTACCTTTCATTTCACATATCCAAATGATGTAACATGTCTCTGATATCAAATTGATGCAAGCTAAAGCTCTGATATCAAATTGATGCAACCTAAGGCTCTGATATCAAGTAAAACTCATAAAATATGCTACCCTTAAAACAACTAGGGTATGATTACCTCACATGCAAATCACAAAATAGAGAAATGTGCTCAAAAGAAAGGACAAACCAAAGATCCACCACCAACCAATGCTCCTCCAACAAAAACTAATAGAACATGGCACAACACACCATACAACTCACAAAATTAAGAGAAGAAAGATACATGTGGAATGAAAACCGTAGAGAGTAGAAAGAAGACCGAGACGAAAAAGTTGTGGGACGGTAGAAGATAAGCTCGCAAGCTCAGAAGAAACCCTTAGTTTTTTTTTTTTTTTAAATTGAAGAGAACAAAGATACAGGAGGAAGGAAAACTGTGGAGATAAGAAGCAAAAAGAAGACCAAAACGAAGTATTAGAGGATAGGAAGAAGACTAGCTCGCAAGCTAAAAACCCTCAAGTTTACATTTGTTTTCACCAACCACAACAATCCTTTTTCAACAGTAAATTAGCCATATTATATAAGAGAAGGGGGAAATGGCCATAAATTTGCTCAAATAAATGTGCCACCAAAACAACCAATAGAAGCCATTCAAGATAGCTCACGTAATGAGAAGTTAAACCACATAGTATAGGAATCAATAAGGAATGGATCTTAATAGCCCAGCAGTTGGGAAAACTGAGATGCAGCTGAGAAAACCAAGAGCCAGCAGGGTAATCGAGAGCCAACGGCGAAAACCAATAGCAGGAAAACCAAGAACCAATAAGGAAACTGAGAGCCAGAAGGCAGGGAAACCGAGAGCCAGTAGAAAAATTGAGATCCAACAGATAGGGAAACCAAGTGGACAATAGGGAATCAACGTTGGCAGCAAGGAAAATGAGAGGCCACAGGAGAAAATGAGCAAAAAAACACAAGTGGAAAGGCAATGAAGTGTACTGATTTGAACATATAATATCTCAGAACCTACAACAACATCAAGAATTTATCCCACTATGTAGGGTGGGCTACATGAATCTTTTTTCTCCATTGTGCTCTGTTAAAATTTAAATTCACATTTAAATCTAATAAAGAAAGATCATTTATAATATTTTCTAACCAAGTCTTTTTAGGTCTACATCTACCTTTCTTAACATAAGTCAAATCTAATACATCTACTCTCCTAAATGGGTTATCGGAAGGACGCTATTTTATGTGACCAAACCATCTAAGGCGACTCTCTCTAACCTTAGCTTCCACTGGAGATACTCCAACCTTTTCACATATATGCTCATTACATATCCTGTCTCAAAGAGTAAATCCACTCATCCACTTGAGCATCCTCATCTCTATAACACTGAACTTAATATTCAACTTCTCTATTAATGAACAACACTTTGCACCATAAAGTATTGCATGTTTAACCACCATCTTATAGAATTAGTCCGATGCATTCCTCCACTTCAACCATCCAACTTGAATTCTACTAATAATATCCCAATATATTTCACCATCACTCTAAAAAATAGACCCAAGATATCTAAAACGAGTATTCTTATTAATGACTTGATCACCCAAAGTTACAAACTCCCAAATAGAACTATTATTACTAAGATTACACTCCATATATTCAATTTTAGATCTACTCAAACGAAAGCATTTAGACTCTAATGTAGACCTCCATAATTCAAGTGTACCTTCAACTCCCTCTCTACTCTTATCAAAAAGAAGAATATCATCCGTAAAAAGCATACATCATGGTAAGCCTTTTGCAAATGTCTAGTGAGAACGTCCATGACTAAAGCATCTCAGAACCTAGAACTATAAAATTCAATTCAGTCTTTGGTCCCATTCCTCTATTTACTAAAAGATGATTAAACTAAGTCACTTTTTTTTTTTCTGTTCCAATGATATTTGAGTCCAGTTCACCTCAGAAGAATGGAACGTCCAAAAGATAAGACAATGATAGGAAATACTTGAGTTCTCAAGTATTTCTAACCCAAACCAGTAAATATACAGCAGCCAACTGCTGTCCACAGCAGCAAAACAGCAGGAATTCGGTGAAAACGCAGCAGGAAATAGGGAAAAGCAGGAGAAAAAACACAAGATATTGCTTGTATTTCACTAGAAATCAAAGAAAACAGCAAAGATACAATATGTTCTTCAATCCGAGAGGAAGAACAACTCTCCACGATCTCCGGCAAAGCCAAGAGCCCAAAGCAAACCCTAGATCTCAAAGAGAAAACTCAAATTCAAGATGATCCCCTAATTCCCCCCCAAACTCCTAATTATACAAAATTAATCATAAAGGACAATCATAAACTTCCTAAAACAGCCTTTTACGTTCAAAATTTCCCTCCTAAACTTCACGGCTCACGGCAGAGCCGTTTCCGCCCGTTCGGCCTTCTCGCGAGCGTCTCGCGTAGACGCGGACCGGTCCCTGCTGGACCGGTCCAACCGGCCCATCCTGGGCCGGTCTAACAGACAACCACGTGTTGCTTCTCAAATTACAACAGCAACCTTAACAGTTAAATGCCGCATATGATAATATGTACTAAATCGTTTCTATTCTTTTTACAATATCTTCTTTCAATTCCGAACAATCTAGCTTATTATTCCCTTGACTAATTCGATATTCCTCTTGAATCCTTGCACTGCTTCACTTTTCCCATTCAAGAACACCCAGAAAGAAAAATTGTCCCTCTCCACAATGACTATCATTGCTTCTTGCTGAATGTGTCTTATGATTAGATTTTGCTTCATGCTGCTTTGCCTTCGATCTCAACCAAATGGCTTGATGTCATATTATATTCATCCAACATGTGCAAAAGTTTAGGTTTTGATTTTGAAAGAAAACATGACCACAAAACCTCGCCTGAGCAGGACCAATTCAATAATCTGGTTTCAAGTCAGAATCATATCAACCCAAAAGGACCAGTTCATGGCCCAATACAAATATTGATCAGACTACACATACATCGATTGTAAACAATAGCAATCCACATCCTCATTCCAGATTCACAAACAAACCATTTATATATTCACGCTATCATTTCAGATGTGATCACAAAACCTCTCTCACTCATTTCCTCTCCTAGCACTCTTTTCACCTATCCATTTTTTGCTTATTCAGCTGCGTCTACACCTCAGTCCTCATCTACACTTCTACTCCCCTAAAGCCTACCCTCCTCTAACCCTCCATTTCTATTCTAAAACAAAGACAAACTTCTCACCCACTGATGAATAGAAATAGAAGCCAAGGATGCTGATCAATCTAAGGTCATGCTAGCCAGACTATAATAAGCAAGCGAACCTCTGTCATCTTCACGTTTCTCTTCTTCGGCATATAGCCATAACACAACCAAGTATTTCAGCCATGACTACAGGAATTGACATTTCTGGTACTGTTATCTTGTAAGCCAAGATGAGGTGTCTGTATTGGCCACTGGCTATCATAAAAGAGCTTTAAGGTTTAGAAGACATATATGATGAAGATGATGGAAACTTTGTTGACCGTATTGGTTCTTCCTAATTGAAAACTATTATTACCTGCCTTTAACAAGATTCAAATTTGAATGTTCAAGTACAATAAATCCTAATCTGATTCCAACCCGATAAGTTCACACGCCAACACACGAGTGAAAAATCATGAGTCTCCACCAAAAGTATACATTTATTTCTTCCTTCATTTTCTTGCTTTATTCTTCAACCAATAGCATGATCTTGTCTCTATACTTAATGCTGCAACCTACTGGTTTTCAAATAGACCAAGTTTGATAAGTCCCAACCTACTTTTCATCAGAGAAAACATCCAATTTGCTTGAAGAAGGTAGGGATTAAAAGCGGAAGCTCAGACCAAAGCTAATGTGAATATATATTTTGAAACTAAATTTGATCAGACATGCACCCTCAGACCAACCAAGCAGCAAAAAACTAATCTAAATTTTAGCCATGATCAGACCTTGAACAACCCATTGTCACCATGATATTCCAAACAGAGTGTCGTTCATATTGCTTTTCACTTTGCAAGTAGTAGATGAAAATAATGTTTTAGAAAAAAAAAAAGGATGCAATAGGAGGAAATAGAAATTTCAATCAGTAACCATAACACCCAAATTGTTTTAAAATAAGAGGAAATGGATCATCATATTGCTGCAAAATAAACAAAAAAATAAGCGTCACCAAAAAATATTAGCAAGATGGAGAATGTGCTTAAGTTGAATTTCTTTAAGAGATAAAGGCACTTTAGTTCACAGGACATATTGTAGACACTAAGAGCTTTTGATATATACTAGACATAAATATCATCTGCAATGGATGAAAATATCTAAAAAAGCAGTCAATTGACAGGGAAGGCTTGGATAATTTCTTTTTTGTCCTAACCTTTTACTTGGGGGTGGAGATATAGGGAGAGCGGGGCTGTTAAGGTGATTTCTTTTAGTTTAATATTCATTAAAAAAATATGTGAAGCCAGCTAATTTGGATCAAACCTAGTTTCTAAAATGCACTAAAAATGCAAAGAAAAGACAATGCCAGCTGAAACACGCATTGGAATGAAGATACAAGTTAATTCAATTATGGCAGCGTAAAAAATTAACTTACTGCTTCAATAAGCATTTGCAGTTCAGACTCTACAAGCGGGGAACCAAATTTTACAAGTCCATTTTTGAGCTCCTCGCAAGAAATAATGCCATCATTGTCAGTGTCCATCATCTTAAACTTACCTTTCATATCTTCAACTTCTTCAGTAGATAAGTGTTCAGCAATAACCTATAAAGAAAACAATTTTATTTGAGCTTGGATATGATTTTGAAGAAATGTTTAAAATTCAGTGAGTGTGAAACACCAAATAAGCCAAAAGAATCAAACTAACCCGTAAAGCTCTTCTTTTAAACCTATTCATCCTTGTGAATTGCTTTAGCCTTGATTTGACGACATCACCAAGAGGAACATTTGGAGCTTTCTTAGCATTTTGAATCCAAGGATGTTCTGTTGAAGAAGGAAAAAAATATAGTGATTGGCACATTCTTCTCACAGAAAGTTCAGCCATCATCATGACCTCAAAAGGTTGTAACTAAAAAACTTCACCAGCAACACATCACATCATGAAAAACAAACTTAATTTCTGGAATATGTATTCAAGTATTCCAGAAAAAAAAAGGTTAAAAATATCAACTGCTCTAATCACAGAAGAGTGTGACTTTCTTATGAAGTATACATGCACCTTGAGGAGACCTACTTAAGGAGATGGATTCAAACAAGCAATACAAGGAAATGAAAGCTTTGAATCCAAACCAAACTAAAAGAAATTACACCGTGTATCCCAATCACACAAAAATGGTATGATCTGTAAGATTAATGGTCTTAAAATATGGGTAACCAACCAAACTAACAGCTTCAAACTGTGATCTATGTACAAGAATTTTATTTTACATTATTATATGACCTCATAAGCAAGTTAATCTGGCTAACAAGAAATTAACTAATTGAAAAACAGAAATTCAAGATCAATCAAAATCACTATTTGATTGAAAATCAAACCGCAATCATAAAAGCTATATTGTATTAGTTTCGCCAAATCCGATTAATCAAGAAAAAAAAACACAAATTATAGAATAAGAACAAAAAGAAAAAAAGATCTAGGCTTAGCATAAAAAGATGACTTCCCCTGAAATTTTAAAGCGCTAGAAAGAATTACATCCAATTCAAAATACATTCAATCAAAATAGAAATCAAGTGGAAATATTTTCTACATGCCTTAGATGCCCTTATTTATAATCAAAGGATCCCTCATCAAATACACAAAATATCCAAATCAAGTTAACTATCATAATCCCAAAAAATCGCTAAAATCCTTGAAATAAACTCTCAAATTAGCTACAGTACCTAATTGCAAGATAAGAACGAAACAAAGTAGCACATCAAGTCAGGAGAGAATAGGACCAAAGTAGCAACTACAATACCAAAAAACACGGTCATGCCAAATAGGAACCATGTATAAAAAGAAAATCACAAACTAGCAATAACCCAAAGAGTGCGCATCAATTTGATCAGTTTGAAAATTTTTTGGCTTCAAAGAATTATTCAATTGATATTTTCCATGCAAGCCTACTCATAATTGTTGCCACAAATTACAAACAAATCCCATAACCAATATTAACTAATCTACTTGACTTAAAAAATCAGTACCAATAAATTGTTTAGTTGATATTTGTCAAATAAATATAGTTATAATAGTTTCGCTAAGTGGCGAAGCAAGAAATTTTTTTAGGGGAGGCCCAATTTCAACCTTGCTTCCACACACACATATATATATATAGTAGCTGAGCAAGACCGAAAAGATAACAGTAAAAGGTAAATCTATTGTTAACTTTTTTGGTGGATTTCTAATTGGATAAGTACATCTCTATCGAGTGCACCCATATCTTTCATATCCACCATTAATAGTTTACAAAAATTTAATCATCTCATATCATTTCAAGTGCAATGTTTGATGCTATTTGGAAGAGTTTTGGATGCATATTCCAAAAAAAGGATCAAAGATAGAGTCCAATGCATTGATGGTAGGTTTATGAAATAAAGTCAAATGAAATATTGAAGGCTAACTAGATATCAAAACTTTCCAAAAACTTTAAAATTATAGGCATTTGTCTCAATGTGTTGCATGCCTAGCCTTTCTAGCAATTATTTTCTTAAAAGCTTTGGAAGGAAAATTTTTACAATTACGGTGAAGTTGGAGCAGTTCTAATTATTTGCAAAAGTGGTGTAGAGCTACAATAGAAAAAGAGAAATTTATTTTAAAGCTATTTTGTATATTATTAAATTTAAGTCAGATAGCAGCTTTCATAAAACTACCACACTCTAATAAATCTAATTATAAAAAGCTACCTCTCACCACAAAAAAATTTGGAAAGTAAGAAGAAAATAATAGATACACAACAATGTAATAGCAGTCTAAAAAGCACACAATGAAAAATCAATCCCATATAAACCCAAGATGGATCATTATCTCATTACCTAGTTTGAACTCAATTATATTTACATTAGCAATAGAATTATAATTAATTTATTTACTAGTCAATTTTTTTTTGTGAATATATTCAGGCAAATGACTAATTATAAATGCAATATAATGTGAGGAAAGTAATAAAAATATTAAAATACCAAAATGCTTTTTAATGAATAATAATAAAGACACAATTTTTTAGAGGAAGAAATTATGAAAAAAACATAAACATAAATAAATTACATAAATATGATATCTTTATAAAAAAAAAAACACCTTAAAGAGAACTAATCCAAATAGTTAAAATATTAGCCGAGGTGAATAATGTAAATTTGAATTCGAACAGATAAATTAAGCTTTAAACTTCAAGGTTCTTTTGATGCAATTGTAAATACAGTCATAAACATTTATCATAAAATTATATCAGCAAATAATGTTGCAAGAATTACTTTATCAATTTGCTCTATTGATCCATCGACTGTAGTATGTCATGATTTGTCTAATTTCACAACCATGAATACATTCCATTTCTGTAAGAAGTTTAGATTTAAATATAATCACATAATCAATTTTAATTTTTAATTTTTGACTCTTGTTCAAGAATAGGCAAGTTTAAACATGTTTTAATATGTGTAGATTCATATTTAATAAAATCATATATAGATTAATATTGAAGCTATAAATCTTCTTTCGCATCTAATTCATAATTTAAAAAAAAAAAAAAACAATCCAGGTAACTACATTTTCTTCAGTAGGCTGAACTTCAACCATATAGAAGTCAAATATTAGTGTTGGGTTTGGCAAGCAGTAGCATAAATGCTAATGATTTTTCTTCTAAAATATTAATCAGAATTTATGTAGTCCTAAAAAGAGAACAATTGTACCATAGTCGTCTTGTGTATAATTGTTAAATTAATCATGCGATTGGTCCCTATATTCACTAAATGAAAAATGTTTTTCCTTAAAATTATGTTTCACATCAAATCTATAGATCCAGCAATAAAAGTTCATCTTTAATATTAAATATGTCCAAAAATTTTATTTTTGTAAATTCAACTCTATAAGAATCAAACATATAGCATTTAAAAAAATCAACGAAGTTATTGATCTAATTTAAAAATTCCCTAAGATTATACCTATCTTTAAATCTAAGAATATAATTTTGAACATCATAACAATCATACATATTAAAGTTATTTAGAACCAAAAGGTTACTTGATTTTATTTAAACTGCATCACGTCTTTAAACCCATTGATATGATGATACAAACTTAGGCTATAATATCATATCTAATGCATGGCAATTTATGGTTCAGGGTTTCCTAATGCAATTATATGATAAAATGCATATAATCCCACGCATTATCATCACCATTATTAGTCTTATTCTACCTATTTGGAGTACACATTATAAACCCTCTTTTTTTTTTCATTCGGTCCTATTACTATTGTTTGAGATGTTAAATCAGCTGTCACTAAAAACTTATAGTCATGTAATCTTAGGTCCACTCATTTTTTCTAATCCTCTGACAAAAAATTAATCAAATCATCTAACAGACGTCTTTTATAGCCTAAGTATCGCCTTATCTTCTAATACTATGGAATAATAATTGTTCAAATAGAAACCAAAAAAATAACAAGAAAAACATAAATTAATGATAGTCTAATAAAAATTTCAAATAGAAATTTAAAAACAATAAAGATAAAATGCGCATAGAACTAGCTAACCACCTCACATGTCTCATCCTATGAAGTCCAATGCCTCCCAATATGCTCTTTCTTCGTTTATTTCAGTCATCTTTCCCTTTGATAAATATTTTTAATCAACATAAAGATGAGATTAATACTCCAAAATTTTTAGAACTGGTGGAGGTGTGCGGCTTTTTAAGTGATCCTTGACGGCGGTTATAATGGTGGTAGTTGTGGCGAAGGTGACATGATGGAGGTTAAGGCAGTCAAGAGTATATATATATATATATATATATATATATAAATAGGGTGAGGCGTAAGCTTCATGCCAACGAGGCGAGGCATATATCAAGGCAGGCATCAACCAAGCTGAGGCGCAAGCCTCATAATAAAAACTTGAGGTGTATGCCTCGAAGCATTTTTCACTGTAATTGCACTGAGGCAAGCCTCATATTGCGCAATTTAAACAATGGTGTTGGATCATAATTTTTGTGGTGGATAGCTGGTTTGTCCTTTCCTTTGAACTCATTTCCTATTTTATGTTTGCATGTGAGGTGACCATTCGTGATTGTTTTGAGGGTTTATGTGTTTTGTTATTTGTTCTTTCTTATATAACTTCCTAACAAATTTCTCATGTTAGTTTTCTACTAAGCATCCATCATTTTGGTTTTTGTTTATGTGATATTAAAAGGAAGTATTTTAATTTGCATTCCTAGTGTTCTCCTACTTGGTTTAAGAACTTAGGTTGCATCAATTTGGTATCAGAGAACTTAGGTTTGCAACAATTTGCATCTTTTAGCCAGTAACTAAAGAAAAAAAAGTCATTATTAAAAATCATATCATAGTTAATTCCAAAACTAACCATGGGTTACTTAAAATTCCATTTATGTCGATAACTTGGTGACTACCATGACATGATTTATTCCATACAAGTAGTATTAATGAAAATTCAAAATATATTGAAAGTGGCAATTTCACAATAATTGGGCAAATGTTCCTTTTTGAATTAAAATTATAATAATTAGCAAACATCTCTTTTAACCAACTGATATTATATATTAAATTATATAGAAAACTTGGTTCAAGTTAAGTCAACTCAACCCACTAGGTAGCGACTAAAAAACAACTCACCAAGTTCACAAATGAACTCACCTCATCCAAGCAACTAGGCTCTATGATGCACCGATAAACCTTCATAAGAAGGCCTGAAATATCGGACATAGACACGTGCATGGCAGGTTGGGATACATGTTAGACACGACAAAAGCGTTTATGATTAAAATAATATGTTAAT